TAGGCTATTAAGTATTGCCTCAATTTCAGAGCCTGCTGTTGGTCTATTCAGGGATTCAACTTCTTCCTGGTTTTGTCTTGGTAGAGTGTAAGTGTCCAGGAAATTATCCATTTCTTCTAGGTTTTCTAGTTTATTTGCGTAGAGGTGTTTATAGTATTCTCTGATGGTTGTTTGTATTTCTGTGGGGTTGGTGGTGATAGCCCCTTTATCATTTTTTATTGCATCTATTTGATTCTTCTCTCTTTTCTTCTTCATTAGTCTTGCTAGCGGTCTATCAATTTTGTTGATCTTTTCAAAAAACCATCTCCTGGATTCATTGATTTCTTGGAGGGTTTTTTGTGTCTCTGTCTCCTTCAGTTCTGCTCTGATCTTAGTTATTTCTTGCCTTCTGCTAGCTCTTGAATGTGTTTGCTCTTGCTTCTCAAGTTCTTTTAATTGTGATGTTAGGGTGTCAATTTTAGATCTTTCCTGCTTTCTCTTGTGGGCATTTAGTGCTATAAATTTCCCTCTACTTACTGCTTTAAATGTGTTCCAGATATTCTGGTATGTTGTATGTTTGTTCTCAAAGAACATCTTTATTTCTGCCTTCATTTTGTCATGTACCTAGTAGTCATTCAGGAGCAGGTTGTTCAGTTTCCATGTAGTTGAACGGTTTTGATTGAGTTTCTTGGTCCTGAGTTCTAGTTTGATTGCACTGTGGTCTGAGAGATAGTTTGTTATAATTTCTTTTCTTGTACATTTGCTGAGGAGTGCTTTACTTCCAACTATGTGGCCAATTTTGGAATAAGTGTGATGTGGTGCTGAGAAGAAAATATATTCTGTTGATTTGGGGTGGAGAGTTCTGTAGATGTCTATTAGGTCCGCTTGGTGCAGAGATGAGTTCAATTCCTGGATATCCTTGTTAACTTTCTGTCTTGTTGATCTGTCTAATGTTGACAGTGTGGTGTTGATGTCTCCCATTATTATTGCATGGGAGACTAACTCTCTTTGTAAGTCTCTAAGGACTTGGTTTTTGCATCTGGGTGCTCCTGTATTGGGTGCATATATATTTAGGATAGTTAGCTCTTCCTGTTGAATTGATCTCTTTACCATTATGTAATGGCCTTCTTTGTCTCTTTTGATCTTTGATGGTTTAAAGTCTGTTTTATCAGAGACTAGAATTGCAAGCCCTGCTTTTTTCTGTTCTCCATTTGCTTGGTAAATCTTTTTTTTTTTTTTTTTGAGACGGAGTCTCGCTCCGTCGCCCAGGCTGGAGTGCAGTGGCCGAATCTCAGCTCACTGCAAGCTCCGCCTCCCGGATTCCCGCCATTCTCCTGCCTCAGCCTCCCGAGTAGCTGGGACTACAGGCGCCCGCCACCTCACCCGGCTAGTTTTTTGTATTTTTTTAGTAGAGACGGGGTTTCACCGTGTTAGCCAGGATGGTCTCGATCTCCTGACCTCGTGATCCGCCCGTCTCGGCCTCCCAAAGTGCTGGGATTACAGGCTTGAGCCACCGCGCCCGGCCTGCTTGGTAAATCTTTCTCCATCCCTTTATTTTGAGCCTATGTGTGTCTCTGCATGTGAGATGGGTCTCCTGTATACAGCAAACTGACGGATCTTGACTCTTTCTCCAATTTACCAGTCTGTGTCTTTTAATTGGACCATTTAGTCCATTTACATTTAAGGTTAATATTGTTATGTGCGAACTTGATCCTGTCTTTGTGATATTAGCTGGTTATTTTGCTCGATAGTTGATGCAGTTTCTTCCTAGCATCGATGATCTTTACATTTTGGCATGTTTTTGCAGTGGCTGGTACTGGTTGTTCTTTTCCATGTTTAGTGCTTCCTTCAGGGTCTCTTATATTGCAGGCCTGGTGGTGACAAAATCTCTAAGCATTTGCTTGTCTGTAAAGGATTTTATTTCCCCTTCACTTATGAAACTTAGTTTGGCGGGAAATGAAATTCTGGGTTGAAAATTCTTTTCTTTAAGAATGTTGAATATTGGCCCCCACTCTCTTCTGGCTTGTAGAGTTTCTGCCAAGAGATCTGCTGTTAGTGTGATGGGCTCCCCTTTGTGTGTAACCCAACCTTTCTCTCTGGCTGCCCTTAACATTTTTTCCTTCATTTCAACTTTGGTGAATCTGACAATTATGTGTCTTGGAGTTGCTCTTCTCAAGGAGTATCTTTGTGGCACTCTTTGTATTTCCTGAATTTGAATGTTGGCCTGCCTTACTAGGTTGGGGAAGTTCTCCTGGATGATATCCTGAAGAGTGTTTTCCATCTTGATTCCCTTTTCTCCCTCACTTTCAGGCCCACCAATCAGACATAGATTTGGTGTTTTCACATAATCCCTTATTTCTTGGAGGCTTTGTTCATTTCTTTTTCCTCTTTTTTCTCTAGACTTCTCTTCTCGCTTCGTTTCATTCATTTCATATTCAATCATTGAAACTCTTTCTTCCAGTTGATCGAGTAGGTTACTGAAGCTTCTGCATTTGTCACGTATTTCTAGTGTCATGGTTTTTATCTCTGTCAGTTCGTTTATGGCCTTCTGCATTGATTATTCTAGTTATCCATTCTTCCATTCTTTTTTCAAGATTTTTAGTTTCTTTGCACTGGGTACGTAGTTCCTCCTTTAGCTCCGGGAAGTTTGTCTGACTGAAACCTTCTTCTCTCAACTTGTCAAAGTCATTCTCCATCCAACTTTGATCTGTTGCTGGCAATGAGCTGTGTTCCTTTGGAGGGGGAGATGCACTTTGATGTTTTGATTTTCCAGCTTTTCTGCCCTGCTTTTTCACCATCTTTGTGGTTTTATCTGCCCTTGGTCTTTGATGATGGTGATGAACTGATGGGGTTTTGGTGTGGGTGTCCTTTCTGTTTGTTAGTTTTCCTTCTAACAGTCAGGACCCTCAGCTGTAGGTCTGTTGGAGATTGCTTGAGGTCCACTCCAGACCCCGTTTTCCTGGGTATCAGCAGCAGAGGCTGCAGAAGATAGAATATTGCTGAACAGTGCGTGTTGCTGTCTGATTCTTGCTCTGGAAGCTTCATCCCAGTGGTGTACCCGCAGTGTGAGGTGTGAGGTGTCGGTGTGCACCTAGTGGGGATGTCTCCCAGTTAGGCTACTCAGAGGTCAGGTACCCACTTGAGCAGACAGTCTGTCCATTCTCAGATCTCAACCTCTGTGCTGGGAGATCCACTGCTCTCTTCAAAGCTGTCAGACAGGGTCATTTACATCTGCAGAGGTTTCTGTTGCTTTTTGTTTAGGTATGCCCTGTCCCCAGAGGTGGTGTCTTCAGAGACAGGCAGACCCCCTTGAGCTGCATGGGCTCCACCCAGTTCGAACTTCCCGGTGGCTTTGTTTACCTACTTAAGCCTCAGCAATGGCAGGTGCCTCTCCCCCAGCCTTGCTGCTGCCTTGCAGTTAGATCTCAGACTGCTGTGCTAGCAATGAGGGAGGCTCCGTGGGCATGGGACCCTCCCATCCAGGAGTGGGATATAATCTCCTGGTGTGCCATTTGCTAAGACCCTTGGTAAAGCACAGAATTAGGGTGGGAGTTACCCGATTTTCCAGGTGTTGTGTGTCTCAGTTTCCCTTGGCTAGCAAAAGGGATTCCCTTCCCCCTTGTACTTCCCAGGTGAGATGATGGCTCGCCCTGCTTCAACTCTTGCTGGTTGGGCTGCACCAGCTGACCAGCACTGATTATCTGGCACTCCCCAGTGAGATGAACCCGGTACCTCAGTTGAAAGTGCAGAAATCATCCATCCTCTGTGATGCTTGCACTGTGAGCTGGAGGCTGGATCTGCTCCTATTCGGCCATCTTGCTCCTGACTTGACACTGATTTTCAATAAGACAATCTTTAAAGAGATCACTTTCCATTTTAGAAATATGAGATTTTTTGGGGAAAAGATAGAGAAACTTCTAATCATTTTAACCAAGGGTTTTAGGACACTTTATTTTTATGAATATATCAAAGTAAATTCCTTCTTTTATTTTGCAAATGACTGGAAAAAATTTCAGGGTCTTACTAAGGTCTAGTTTAAGTGAGTCTCAATTTTTCTTCTGTTTTCTTTGTTGTTGCAACTTTCCTCACACACAGACACACACACACACACACACAAAGGTAGATATAAAAAAATCTAGACATAACAGATGCAACTTACAATTTTTTGGTAAGAAATCATAAAGTTTTAGAAAAAATCATTTATGAGTGCCAATAAAAATGATACTCAAGAAAACAGTAGGAAAAGTGATATATTAAAAGACTTTTAAAGACCTTTCACAAGAAGTTGAACCTATGGGCAAATGCACAGTATACACTATCTATTTGCTCATTTTGTCCTGTAACATTGAACATAAACTCTGAAAAAAGAAACAAGTGTGGCTCAGGGTCACTCATGTAATCTATTTTAAGGCAGAAACAGGTGTGTTGAAAGATTTATAGGTAAAACAAACACCACTTAGACTTCGATAAAGTAGTATTTATTATTTTCCTATAATTGCAAATTTGCCAAATGTAACTCACTATTTTTTCTTTAATATTTTAAAACATATTTTGAAAAATTATTATATTTTCACAATCAATTCAGTAGACATTCTTGAAAAACTTGTCTGAACCTAGTTTTCTCATCTGAAAAATGGAAGCAATATATACTCTTTCAGTCTGTTGTGTTAAATGAGAAACCGTATATAATACACTAACCACGGCTTCTGGCTAGATGCATACCTCCTCATCTCTTGAGTAAAGATATGACTGTTGGCCAGTCACGGTGGCTCATGCCTGTAATATCAACATTTTGGGAAGCTGAGGTGGGCGGGTCACTTGAGTAAGGAGATCAAGACCAGCTTGGCCAACATGGCAAAACCCCGTCTCTACTGAAAATAATAAAATTAGCCATAGTGGTGGTGCATGCCTGTAGTCCCAGCTACTTGGGAGGCTGAGGCAGAAGAATCACTTGAATGGGTCGGGGAGATTACAGTGAGCCGAGATAGTGTCACTGCACTCTAGCCTTGGCAACAGAGTGAGACTCCATCTCAAAAAAAAAAAAAAAAAGCAAACAAACAAACAAAAAAAACATGTAACTGTTATTCTCAGTACTTTGGGCCAGCACAGTACTGATACTCTCCTAAAATCTAACTCAAAGAAAAAAAATCACAAAGCATTGGAATTGGAGCAGAAAATAATATATTCTTGTTTGAAGTCTTGCCATATTCAGTCTGTGTGTGCTGTTAGCTGAAAGCTGGATGACACAAAATGCTGTCTTAACTTTAATGTTGTTTCTAATTTAGTTCTAGGTCATAAAATTTATAGGAAAGTCTAATTCTTAAACTTTAGCATCAGGTTTGTTATGCTTAGGTATTATGATCAGATATCTTATGTGTGCTCTATGACCTCAAGCAAAATTAAATAAATCTGTACATTGCAGTGAAGACCCCCATCAAACCAATGAAACGTATATGTATTTTTTGCAGCACTCTTTTAGGTGCTTAGAAACATGTAACCCATGTTGAAGTTCAGAGGATAGTTGGCAATGCAAAATATAACTATATGATGTGTTAATAAGAATGCAGAGGAATAGTTAAAATGATGCATAATAAAGTAAGGAAATAGGTTGTTTGGTTTCAATGGAAGGGGATAGTACACATGCTGAAATGACCTGGGAAAGCTTAATGATAAAGGAAGGTCTTGAGATGGATGAGGGAGATTTGTAAGGAAGAGAACGGAGAGAAATTGATTCCCAAAGAAGAAAAAGCATGACAAAAGCCCAAAGGAATTAATGAAACGAGTGACAGGGAATAGATCAGTTAATCGGTGAGGCTAGAGAAGCACATTTATGGAATACTAGTGAAAAATAGAATGACAGGGTAGAATGTATCCAATAACAGAAGAATCCATTTTCTATCAAGACTTTCCTATTAGATTTGATATATTAATACCAGCAACGTCATCTCTGAATATAAACATATCTCTACTTATGCAAGGTAATTATATGTTATCACTGGGAAATTCTATGAAGTAATTATCAGTCCCTTTATTAATATTACTACAGAATTAATTTATTCAGTTTTAGTGTATACTACGTTTATAGTTTGCTTCCCTACTCCCCCAGCCTCCAGGTTTGTAATTTAAATGAAACTAAATTCCATCATAGTTCACTCACTAGCACATAGGACTACCAACGTTTGAATGGCTTTAGATTTCCATGAACCTGTATTTGTCAAAGTTCACTCCAGGCTTCAACTGGCATATGTCAAAATTACTGATTTGTATGACAACCTGCTTCCTGCTTACTATTTTTATACCATGGGTAGGGAAAAGTAGAATTATCTCTCGAGTTAGCTGTCAGTCAAATGACAACTGAAGCATGCTATAAATTTAAATAAAGCCCCACATTCTAGCAGGAACTAATGATTTTGTGATACTGCTATCTTTGTAGAAGAAATAAAGTGTTCTCCTATCTTATGATGAATATCACTATAATACATTAAAATATAGAATTGCATCCAGTAAAATATCCTGAAGTGGACCAAAATATGCCCCTCCAAAAGATGTCACTTTGGTATAATAACTTTTTGGGCAGAAAGCAATTAGCTCTCTGACTTTCCCCTTTCTAAAAGCAATAATTAAATTTCAGTATGTAAAGGTGCCTCCCTCTAGCATACTTGTGAGAAAACTACTCCATAGACAACTCTTAATAGCTGATGACTTATCTGCATAAGAAACCTTATTAAACAATCCTTATTTAGAATACAGTTCCTCCCCCTGCTTTCCCATAACTTACCTCCTGCACCAAGCAGCCCTAAACTTGTTTTCTTTGGCTAGTCTAAGATACACACCCCAAATTCTAATTGCCTCTTTGCATCACATTTCTTTGTGAATTTCCATGTGTATGTACATCATTAATTTTTTTTTCTTGTTACCCTTTCTGTGGTCAGTTTAATTTGTAGGGTCCCAGACACTGAACCAGGAGGGAAGAGAAAAAGTGTTTCTTCTTTCCTGTGGCTTAGGCAACCATGAATGGACAGGCAGGCATCCCACTTGCTCCAGAGGCTGTAGCTGAACTGAGATCCGACAAAGCTGATGTAGAAATTTTTGCTGGATCAGATCCTGGAGTTTTGCCTGCAAAAATACAAATACAGGACTCTGTTTTTTCTTTTCCAAATTGAGATTTGCAGGAGAAAAACAATTATAAGAATTAGTTCTTTGGAATGGGATTTTGGTGAATTTTCTCTTGAATATTCATTGCTTATTGACCCTTTCACTCCCAGGGACAGCCATTGCTTTCCTGTTGGTCTCATTCTGTGTCTTGAGTGCTTGGCTTGGCTTTCCTCCTGGTGGCAGGGTACATGATGTTGGGCTTGCTGTACAGACAGTCAATCATCAGACTGGATGCCCTGAGAATTTGTAGATGGTCAGATAGAGATGCAGGTTGCACCCTCTTGCCACTGGTGTTCTACCAACCCTCTCAGAGGTTTTGTCTAAATTTTTATTTCTTTTGGCTACTGTTGGGAGAAACTCCATAGCTTAAGGATTTCATTTTTGCACTCTTTGTGGATGCCTCTTATGTTCCTGGCTATCTACATAATTCAATATGTTTTTCCCTCTCTTATTAAGCTTTTATTTATTTGATTCATATATCCCCACCATTAAACCAAAGAAGGTAGAGAAAAAGTAACTTATCCTCCCTTACAACTATTTCAATGAAAAATAAGCCTGTAAGTTTCTTTTATTTATGTTTTTATTTGTTAATATTTTTTAAAATAAACTTCTTTTTTCTTTTTTTTTTTTAAAAATAGGGAAAGCTGGTCTTGAACTTCTGGGCTCATGCAATCCTCCTGCTTCAGCCTCCCTAAGTGTTGGGATTACACTCGGCCAAATTTTTAAAAATTTTGTTTCAGAGAGAAAAACATTACTTAGTATAAACATTTTTCTGCATTTTCTTCTAAAATATTGAATCAAAAACTTAATTTGTATCATTTTATCACAAACAGCTTAAAAATGAAGAAATAAAACGAGAAAATAATACATTACCAGAACTTTTTCTGAGAAAGGGAATGTTTTGTGTAAAATAAAACTGCATTTTGCAGGGGATTAATTTAAGAGAGACCACACAGAAATGTTTTGAATGTATGGTCTTACAGATTTTCATATATATGTATGAATACATGTGTATACATATATATATATATAAAAATACATGTATATATATGAATACATATATGTATGTATACATGTGTATATATATATACATACACACACATATCATCTATACACACACACACATCTATACACACACACAAACATACAGAACCTTTAAGTGTATCCTGGGTTTAAGTAATTGAAAAGGTAAACAAAGGGCAAGTGGTTTCCAAATATTACAGTTTAACCAATGCACTACCATGTGGCAGTCTCTTATTTGAGGCATCACCTGGAGTCCTTTGTCTCATGACCTTGAAAATTAAGAAGTGTGGACACCAAAGTGAGGTAGAAATGAAAGTTTAATAAGCAAAAGAAGAAAGCTCTCCACTGTGGAAAGGGGGCTTAAAAGAAGGTTGTCATCTTTACAGTTGAATGCAAACCCTTTTATCAAAAACCTGATAAGGGCTAGGCATCTCATTTGCATACAGTACAAATTTCTGGTAGCTTCACCTTGTCCTAATTTACATGTGACCCATAGCTTTAGTTACTCCATATTGCTTTGTTCCCTTTACTGCTCATGTGTCAAGGTGTATTAGTCCGTTTTCATGCTGCTCATAAAGACATACCTGAGACTGGACAATTTACAAAAGAAACGTTTACTGGACTTACAGTTCCATGTGGCTGGGGAGGCTTCATAATCATGACAGAGGTGAAACGTACATCTCACATGTTGGCAGACAAGAGAAGAGAACTTGTGTGGGGAACCTCCTGTTTTTAAATACATCAGATTGCATGAGACTTATTCATTAGCACAGGAAAGACCTGCCCCCATGATTTGATTACCTCCCATAAGGTCCCTCACACAACACCTGGAAATTCAAAATGAGACTTGGATGGGGACACATCCAAACCCTATCGTACTGCCCCAGCCCCTCCCAAATCTCATGTCCTCACATTTCAAAATCAATCGTGACTTCCCAGCAGTCCTCTAAAGTCTTCACTCATTTCAGCGTTAACTCAAAAGTTCACAGTCCAAAGTCTTAACTGAGACAGGGTAAGCCTATGACCCTGTAAAATCAAAAGGAAGTTAGTTACCTCGTAGATACAATGGGGGTACAGGCATTGAGTAAATACAGCTGTTTCAAATGGGAGAAACTGGCCAGAACAAAGGGACTACAGTCCCCATTCAAGTACGAATTCCAGTAAGGCAGTCAAATCATAAATCTCCAAAATGATCTCCTTTGAATCTATGTCTCACATTCTGGGCAGCTCTGCCTCTGTGGCTTCACTGAATACAGCCCCATCCTGGCTGGTTTCTCTGGCTGGTGTTGAGTGTCTGCAGCTCTTACAGGTGCACGGACAAGCTGTCAAGGAATCTAGCATTCTGGGATCTGGAGGAGGGGGGCCCACTTCTCACAGCTCCACTAGGTGGTGCCCCAGTAGGGACCCCGTGTGGATGCTCTGACCCATATTTCCCTTCTGCATGAACCTAGCAGAGTTTCTTCATGAAGGCCCTGCCACTGTAGCAAACTCTTGCCTGGACATCTGGGTGTTTCTATACATCCTGTGAAATCTAGGGGTAGTTTCCCAAACCTCAATTCTTGACTTCTGTGTACCCCCAGCTCAACATTACATGGAAAATATCAAGGCTTGGGGATCCCACCCTCTGAAGCAATAGCCTGAGCTGTTCCTTAGCCCATTTTATCCATGGCTGAAGTGGCTGGAATGCAGGGCGCCAAGTTACTAGGCTGCACATAGCACAGGGATTCTATGCCCAGCCCAAGAAATCACTTTTTCCTCCTAGGCCTCTGGGCCTGTGAGAGGAGAGGCTGCTGTGAAGACCCCTGACATGCCCTGGGGACATTTTCCCCATTGTCTTTGAGATTAACATTTGGCTCCTGGTTACGTATGCAAATTTCTGCCGCTGACTTGAATATCTTCTCAGAAAAAGAGATTTGTTCTTTCAATCGTATCAGGCTGCAAATTTTCCAAACTGTTATGCTCTGTTTCCCATTTTAAAATTGAATGCCTTTAACAGCACCTAAGTTACCTCTTGAATGCTTTGCTGCTTAGAAATTTCTTCTGCCAGATACACTAAATCATCTCTCTCAAGTTCAAAGATTCACAAATCTCTAGGGTAGGGACAAAATGCTACTAGCCTCTTTGCTAAACCATAACAAGAGTCACTTTTGCTCCAGTTCCCAACAAGTTCCTCATCTTCATCTGAGACCACCTCAGCCTGGATTTTATATCATTATTAGCATTTTACTCAAAGCCATTAACAAGTCTCTAGGGAGTTCCAAACTTTCCCACACTTTCTTATATTCTTCTGAGACCTCCAAACAGTTCCAACCTCTGTCTCTTACACAGTTCCAAAGTCACTTCCATATTTTCGTGTATAATTTTAGCATCACTCCACTCCTGGTACCCATTTATGGTATTAGTCCATTTTCATGCTACTGAAAAAGACATACACAAGACTGAGAAATTTACAAAAGAAAGAGGAATATTGGATTTATAGTGTCACATGGCTGGGAAGGCCTCACAATTATGGCAGAAGGTAAAAGGCATGTCTCACATGGCAGCAGACAGGAGAAAAGAGGTTGTGCAGAGAACTTCCCCTTTTTAAAACCATCAGATCTTGTGAGACTTATTAACTACCCTGAGAAAAGAACAGCATGGGAAAGACGTGCCACCATGGTTCAATTATCACCCACTGGTTCCCTCCCAAACATGTTGAAATTAAAGATGGGATTAGGGTGGGGACACAGCCAAACCATATCATGGGGGATGGAACCTTTTATTGTGAGTATGTCTGCACAAGTCACCTGTGTAGATTTTCTTATCTGTGCGGCTGTGGGCATGTCTTAGTCAAACCTCACTATGCAAGTTTACATTTATGTGACTATAGTTGGATTATTTAGGCTATTATTTTGTTTGAAAGAATTCAGCTGAGGACCCACCCTAACTGCCTGCCTGACTGGTTTGTTTCTTTCTCCTCTCTCATTTTTCCCTGCAGGAGTGGAGACCCTAACTGCTGTTAAGGAGGTAGGTGATAATTCTTCTTGCTATGTCCTGCTGGAAAGGGGCATTGTGTGGGGAACAGCAGCTAGGGTTCCTCCTGTGACCTTTCTAAGGATCCTTGGAAGAAATGTGTTTCCATGCATGGTTTCATTTGCATCATCATTTGTAGCTTGATAGACTTTAGGCAAGAAAAAAATGAGTTATTAGAGGACATGTATAAAAATGAAACAAGGGGATAAATAATGATAGCTCAAAAATCTCAATGTTTCAGCCATACCCAGATAAATGTTTGCTATATTTATACCTCCTAAGATTTGGGTGCAAGGGACTTGGCTTTGGTTAACTTCCTTGTTTTATTTTCCCAATCAAAGAAACCTCTTGGTTGTGGGTACCCTGTATACTCTCATAACCTGGTGGGATTTGCAGAATCATTGCCCAAAACTAGAATATTGATCCAGATTTTTACACTACTTATCCCTTTTTTATATTGAGTTTCAGCCAAAGATTGCTCATTTGTTTACAGGAATAAGCAGGGTTAGTCTAAAATGTAGGTGATATAGTTTGGCTTTGCCCCACCCAAGTCACTTCTTAAAATGTAGCTCCCATAATTCCCATGAGTTGTGGGACGGATCTAGGGAAGATAATTGAATCATGGGAGGTGGTTTTCCCCATACTGTTCTCATGGTAGTGAATAAGACTCAGGAGATCTGATGGTATTATAACAGGAAATCCCTTTCATTTGGTTTTCATCCTCTTTCTTGTCTGCTTCCATGTTTTTGCCTTCCATCATGAGTGTGAAGCCTTCCTAACCATGTGAAATTGTGAGTCCATTAGACCTCCTGTTTTAAATAAATTACCCAGTGTCAGGTGTGTCTTTGTTAGGATCATGAGAACAGACTAACAGAGTAGGCAAAACTTAAAAACAACTAATGAGATTAGAATTTAATGACAAGTGTATGATAAGTTTTGAATCAAATTTTTCTTTCTCCTGGCCTCAGTTTTGTTCAAAACAAATCATGATAATTGCTTTGTTAAAAATAAACTATCACTGAGTTGTTTGCAAAATAAACTTAGGCTTATACTTGACTTGATTATTTGCATAAAGTGAAGCAAAAATAGTTATTTTTGCATAGTCTTTTAAAATTATCTTTCATGAAACTCTGTTCCACATGGAATCTCAGATAGGACTTTTTAAAAGCCAAGCCCAGCCATGAGTTTGTACCCTCAAATACCTACAAATTGAGTGAATTCCTCTCTTCTTAAGGTCACAAGAATGTGTGGTTCCTGGGCCTGTTAGGTAGTGACATTGTTTACTCACCATAGATTAGAAGCCCTGTACACAGATTGTGTAGACAGGGTAGGAGGCTACATTTGCCAGTGTGCTTTTATTGGCTGTGTAAGTGAACCTTGATTCCTCAAAAAGAAGCATATCCTTCCAGTCAAAACCTTGGTAAAACAACCAGTTTCTCCAATTGTGTCATGTTACAAAAGAAAATGGATTGTTACTGCACTGGTGCAAATAACTATATTATCATTAGTTAAGAATATTCCCAAATAGTTTCCAAATTCTAGAGTAACCCAGCAGAGAGAAACAAATGCCCTCAAATTTTGTTCACGGGAGTATACCTTACTCAATTGTTAAGAGCTGTAGACAGCTTAAAAGTTTCTTTAACTCTAAAGAACAAAACAAAGAATAGCAATGTTTTAAGCAAAAAGTAAAAAATATTATTTCTGACATCTATTAGTTTAGTTCATGAGATTAACTCCTGTTTGATATTCACAGTTAAGCGCTTCATGACTCTTTTATGTTTTCTTTTATTCCCATGTCATGATTTCCAAAGTTATCAGAAACCTGCATTTGTGAGCATGTTTTTAAAGTCCTACAGTTGATTGTAAAACATCTTTTGAAGAGGATTAAAACAAGACAAAAATTTTCTGTAGATGACAAAGTGTTCAGGTTAGTTACAGTCAAGAACATGATTGGCAAAGATATTTGGTTATTTCTGTGGTTTGCAGCAACTTAATATTATAATCCTTATTATGATTCACAGCATATACTCAAGGTTTAGGATTTTTAAAATCCCATACAATTTTGGAAGATATATTAAAACTATCACTAAAATATAACATAATTTTTGCAATCCCACTTACCTAAACATGTCAAAAAATTCTGTTTACCTCTCTTCTGGATGCTTCAGGACCCTCTGTAGTATACAAAAGCTAGGTTTCAGGAGAGACAATTTTGAATATGAAGTTTGATTTTGGAAAGCCTGTCAAATGTTAGAGGTTTAAAACACTTGATATTATGAAATACAATTCCCGATTACATGTAAGTTATTTATTTTGCCAAAATGATGACTCAGAAATTTTAAAACTAGGCAATAACCTTTACTCATTAAGAGAGAAGACTTCACTTTCCAAACAGTTTGTCTCCTATCTAACCTTTTCTCTCCTTGGCAGTCTACCAACAAGGCAAACAAAATATTTCACTATCTTCTCTATTACATGAAAATCTGTACAAGGGAGAGAAGCCAAATTTTACCCTTACATTGGTTTCAAAATAATCCTTTTTCCATAGACAAGGTTTACATTTTTATACCTTTTGATAATCTTTTACCAAAAACACATTTTACTGTTCTTACACATCTTGCATGTAAATTTATTTTTAGTTCTCTTATTTACATGTTTTAATGGTAACTCTTAGCAATTTTCAACTTTACTGTGAAACCTGGTTAGTTGTTTTAATTATGTACTAGATGCAGATAAAGTCTGACTTTTCTCAGCATTGTTAGGGGCATAGTTAATTTCTTATGTCTCCAGGCCTTACCAAGCTGTAAAGCAGGCAGTGTACAACTTGAAACATTTAGCAAACCTGGTATCTAACTTACATGATTTATACCTCCTATTTACATTTTGATGACATTTGCATTTTACCAACTTAATCTTTAAAACAATTTTTATTTCTTAAAGATTAAAGTCACATAAACTAAACACATTATAGTTTTAACTTTCCTCTATAATATTTGATTTAAGTGCTTATTTTTATTTAAGGCAATCAATTAGAGCTCTTCTTACAGTCATCACACACAACACATATCGCTACACAGAAAAACAGAAGAAGATACAGCATTTATAAGATTTTTTTCTTGTCCTGTTTCCTAAGTGAATTATTGGCTTCCCAGTGGAGCCCTTTAAGAGCAGGGATAGAAAACCGTGAAGTTTCTAGGGCCTAATAAACGTGTATAGCTGTAAGACAAAACAGATTTTGAGTGGGATCTATCAGCCTGTAAATTCTGGATTTCCATGTGGAAAATAGAGGTTTCTCCCAAAATGGAATCCATCATGTCTTTTCTATTTTTCCCAAAAAGTTTCAGGCCACCAGAAGTTATCCTGGGTACATTTAGAGTGGAAAGACCAGAGTGGGGAAAAGTAATTCAGTCAACAGAAAAGTTCTTTTCAAGAGAAACGTGATCCACGAAGAGAAAAACATAAAGGCCTTTTAAATATACCTATAACTTGAATATACACTTTTAATCAAGCTGAGCACTCTTGAAGAAAATCCTTTGAAATATTCTGTTACCTGAGTTTAGCCAAACCAAGCAGTTAATATTTCTGGATTTTGAACTTTACAAAAGGTGACATCACAGGTGAAACCCACAACTCTCAATTAGGTTATAAGTTAACCGTGAGTATACAAGATATTTTATAAGTGGTGGTAAGCAGCTTTTTCCAAATCTAGAATCTTTAAAGGTAATTCAGAGAAAGGAAGATTTAAGAAAGGAAGTTAGAGTTGTTCAACAGCCATAAAATGTTGCTTTTAAATTCAAGTATAGAAAAAAAAAACTTTAAATTGTGATATTTTTTATACATTTTATTTTAATATCTTATAAGGGAAATGTTTTTGAAAGATTAAAAAATTAAAATTTTTAAGAGTATTGTGAAATAATCTAATCACATGTGGAAATTGTGTTGCTATTTCCCCAAGCATTGTTTGTACATTTAATTGAAAATGAGTTGAATGAAACTCATAAGTAGTATAAAAATGTTTAATATTCAATTTTCTGCTGCAATAATGTTACATAACAATCTTAAATTCTCGGTAACTTTAAACAATTTTTTTTACTCCCAAATCCCCAGGTTATTTAAGGGCAGTTCTGCTTCATATTGCAGTTTGTCTGGGCTTTACTCCAGGCTGTGTGTTGGAGTTAGATCTAATCTATTGCATCCCTGCACGTCCCAGTTAGAAAGGCTAACAAATTGTCTTTGGACAGCTCGATTGTATTTGTCATTCAAAAGTCAAAGCATTTATCCTAACACCGAATACCGACTGCTCTTTTCTTTTATTTATTTATTTATTTATTTTTTTATTTTTTTAGATTGCGTTTCACTCTTGTTGCCCAGGCTGGAGTGCAAGGGTGCAATCCTAGCTCACCGCAAAGTCCGCTTCCCAGGTTCAAGGGATTCTCCTGCATCAGCCTCCTGAATAGCTGGGATTACAGGCTTGCACAACCACGCCCAGCTAATTTGTATTTTGGGTAGAGACGGGGTTTCTTCGTGTTGATAAGGCTGGTCTTGAAGTCCCGACCTCAGTTGATCCGCCCACCTCGGCCTCCCAAAGTGCTGGGATTACAAGCCTGAGCCACTCTGCCCAGCCTAACCGATTGCTTCTATTGTTCTGTAGTCTTTTCCAAAACTGTTTTTGTATGGACTCATTTTCACTTTCTCTGACACATACATGTCCCTCATGTCCCTTTATATCTCCAGGGTCTTCTATTTCCACGCAATCTTAATTTGTCATCATATCCTGGACTCACGAGTAATTAATTTATTATTCTTCCTGAAAGTGCAGCCTTGTTGAATAGAATGTGTTCTTTAAACAGCAGCTTCATTTCTTCAGTTAGGTATTAACTTCCAGATTTAAGTGAAAACGAGTTCCAAGTTTTATGTTTCATTGTGTGTCTAAGACTGACATCGTTTATTATTGTGGCATTTACAGCTTGCTTTCAATATCTCCAAATTCTCTATCTGAAAAGCTGGGTACCATATCTCATGTGTGAACATATTCCTTAGAATCATGCAGTACCAGCTCTTTTCCTTCTGTATGTTATGGCTTCCGAGGTGCCTGTTACACAGCCAGGTGAAATTACCTTTTAATCAGTATAGGAACCAGTCTCTTTCCTGCTGATGCTAATGCTTTTTGTAAAAAGGCCATGCTGTATTGAAGTTCTTCTTTCACGACAAAACCACTGATGGAACTCATCTACCTACTGATGGGTGGAAGCTCTTGGTATGCCAAAGTCTTGTTTTGTTTGTGAAGAATCTCTTTCCTTCAACAGTGATGTGCTATGTTAGTTCTCAGATCATTGCTGCCTTTTAATCCAAATTTATCACAAACATTTTCAGTTTATTTGCATAATTTCCTTCTCTGGCCTTAACCATCAGTCTGTGGACTTGCCAAACAACAACAACAACAACAACAAAAAAGCTGAGGTCTAGAAGCAGTATTTAGATCTCAGAATCATTTGTTGTCCTTTATCCTTTGACAAAGTTCTTTGCCTTTCTTTCTCTATGAATTTTTTCTCCTCATGGTTTCCCAATCTCTTGAGAAAAAGAAAGTTCTTGCCTCTTGCAGTCTTTCTCATTAGTTGAATTACACCATCAGTACAGCTTCTGATCATGTCGAGAATTCCACCATGAAGAAATAAAACATTTCCAATTACATGTATTAAGTTTCTTGGATTCTTATGGGCATTGAACGTAGTTCTAAGATACAACCTCATGATCTTGTCTTATTCTCAGAACAAGAAATATATTACTGTATACATTACAGTGTGTGTGTATATATATACACACTACAGTTTATATACTATATATGTGTGTGTGTATATATATATACATATATATATTACAGTAAACCCTGTAGGCAAGCAGGAACACCTCAGAATTCTCAGTGAATCCATCGTTAGCTGTCAGTAATTACAACACTATTAGAATTAGTTCAATAATCAAACATTGTTAGGGTGAATTCACCCCAAAAATTTATATGTTGAAATTCTAATACCTGCGGTCATAGTATTAGGAACTTGGGAATGGAACTCTTTTTAGTGCTATTATGAATAAGATGCTTGACTAATCCAGCAAATAAGGACAGAGCCACAGGTACCCTCTTTGAACTAGGAAGTTAGCGTTCACCAGACACAAAATCTGCTTGATTTTGAATTTAGTCTTCCAAATTGTGGAAAATAAATTTCTGCTTTTGTAAGACACTCAGTTTATGGTATTTGGTTATAGTGGCCCAAACAGACTAAAACAGACACAGTATTTCCCTCCTTTTTGGACTCTCCTGGGTTGTTGCTTTAAACTTGCTTTAGTGCCTAACACTGCTCCAAACTCACTGTCCTCTAGCACACACATATAAATAATTCTGCTGGAACTGACATGTTTCACTCAGTCATCCAAATGTACTTATTATGTTGTCAAAATACTTAGCACTTGTCACAATGTTTACATGTTAAGATATGTTTTGAGGTATATGCCTTAACGCAGTACTGTGATTATTATTATTATTTAGTAGCATAACTTACCATACCTAAAATCAAGGTTTTTTCACAACGACACTGCCTTATTTGGGACTGAATGTGTGAAAGGATGAAGATCTTACATCTAGTCCAAATTGATTCCTCTTGATAGTCTAGCAATAAAATCAAAGCCACAGAATTATCTACTCTATATTTACTGTCCTGTTGTAGCTGATATTCTGTGATTGGACATATTTCTAATATCTATTAACCTTAGAACAACATGTCATATTGAAATTGAAGAGGAATATTGGAACTTTGCTAAGAAAGATTGCTTTTTAGACACAGTGAGATCTAAAATGGAGCCTTTGTTCCTGGACCTATAGTTTACAAAAATTGGGTGTTACTATAGGAATTCCGTACAATTCTATCTTAGACACTTGTGTTCCATCAATATCAGTCCTCTCTGTGTTTTAAATTGACTAGGATTTCTTTTTTCATCTTTGTGTTTGACAAGTATTATTTTCTGAAAATTTGCTATTCATGTTCCAACAGAGAATAGTTTTTCTTTCTTTTAACTCATTGGAAAGAATATTTAGAGTTTTTAGTGATAAATGACATGCTATAAATGAAAAGAAAACACTGACATTGTAATTGAGATATACTAACTAATTAGGAGAATATTAATTAAAAGACACTGTT